GCCGCTCACTTCTATGTGACCTGGGGCAATTTGCTTTATGATTTTGTTCCCTATTTCCTCCATTTTGCCAATAGAGTAGACTAGAAGTGAATAATATTGAAAGTACCTGGAGCGTATGCTCAACACATATTGGTTATTATTCCCAGGTTCTCTTGTCCTTGTACCTGGGGCTGCTTAGACATAATGTGTTCCCCTTTCCCTGTGTCTTACTTTGCAATGACAGATAGCTCTCGTATGTGCCCAAGTGCCCCCAACAGTAGCTCACAGCCTTCTCTTCCCAGAGACAAGCCAGATGGGAGATCAGATTACCAGAGTGGAATACCCTGCTGGAAATCCTGGAATAAACAAAAGGACTTGGTTGGTTTTAGAGGGTTTCTCAGCCAGGAAGCCTACCTACTTTAAAAATTTTTTTTCCAAATTAGCAATTTTCAACCTACTTGGCATAATTACCCGCTCTGAGAATCCAAGTGAAGCCACAGACACCCTCCTTAGAAAGGTGCACAATCCCACAGTTCCAGAAGATTTCCAGAACTCCAAGGAGCCAGCCGTGGGACCTGTGACTGTTTATTCTGATTGGTCAACTTTATTTTATTTATTTATTTTGGTACCGTTAACAGAACTCAAGACCTTGTGCTTACCAGCTAGGCGCTGTGCCCCTGAGCTGTATCTCCAGTCCCAGATTTGTCCACTTTATTGGATTAAGAAACACCTAATAGATTAGTAAAACGTGCTGCTGCCTGTGTTTGGGGGGGGGTGTTGCGAGGGTGTGACTTTGAATATTATACATGGTCCTTAGGCAGATCCTCTTCAGCACGGTTCCTGTCTTACTTCCCAGCTGTCCTGAACTAAGCCGTTTTGTTCTGCCATGCCCTTCCGCCGTGATATCCGTTTTGGAGCTTGCCCTTCAAGACTGAACCCTCTGAAGCCATGAGCCACATGCAGCCTCATCTCCTTTAGGTGACGGGTGTCAGGTGCTGTGTCCCAGTGAACGGAACGCTCACTAATACGGACTCCCCAGCTCAGACTTCCCACACCAGATAGGCCGTCTTGCTAAGGGAACTCTGCAGCCGTTGCCCATTCAGTCTGGAAGCTGCTGCCATGGGTGATTCTGGCTCTTCCTCACAATGCTTCTCTGCCTACCACTCACGTCTGACCAACTTTCCTTCTCAGTCTGTCGGATGACTTGAGGACTGGGATAAGTCCTTGTTCACATGGGCTGCAGTCAGGGCTCCTCACTGGCAGGACCATTCTACCCCTTGAAGTTGATTCGTATCTCTGTTTTTTTTTTTTTTTTTTTTTTTTTGGTTTTTCTCCGGTACCGGGAACCGAACTCACGCCCTTGCGCTTGCCAGGCAAGCGCTTTTGCCGCTGAGCTAAATCCCCAGCCCCTCAAAAGAGAATCTTAAAGCAACAGGCAGTGCAGTAACTATTGTTATCCTCCTATTATTGTGTTATGAAATTTTGTTCTACCTTTTTTCATAAAAAAAGATGACAATTAAAAACGAATCTTGTTTCAGTGTTATTTAGAGGCACCGATATTCTCTTACTAGCAGGAGACGGAAAATCCTCATTCCAAGTGGTTCAGGCCAAGAGAAGGAATGGCTTCCAGCTGAAAAGCTCGGCTCATGGCTGACCACAGGCATGGCTGCCTCTGCACACTTAAATCTCACCCTGGAAACATTTCCTCACCGTCTTGGTAGACTCAGGTTTCCCTGTTTCAGCTCCGTTCCCGGGCAGTGTTTTCTTCATGGGGTGGAGAAGCCGCCAGCCATTCCAGGCTTGTGTCTAATGCGCTCTCAGAAATGTCAAGAAGCCCATGTCAAACCAGCTTCCCAGGACCTGCCTGGGCCAAAGCAAATCTAGGACTGTGCCCTGTCCCCGCCTCCAACCAGCGTGTCCTCAGGCACTGACCCCTCGAGGTCCTTTCACAGCACCCATTCTGCGGGAGGGAGGTGTGTGGTGAGGGTTGGGAGGACAGCTTGAGACGGAACCTTTAACGTCCAGGTGACGCAGAAGGATCTGAGCTGTGGTGGAGAGGAGGGAGAGGAGGGACGGAAATGCAGGAACTCAGGAGGCGGATGGTGAGCTTTGCGGGGGTCGAGCAGAGAAAGCCTGTCTGGACAGAGGTATTTGCATTTGGACTTCAAGCATGAGGACGTTTTCTAGGCAAATGAGAGGGTAAAGGGCCTTCTCAGAAGAGGAAATAGCAGCACACACAAAGGCTTAGGGATGTACAGAGGCAAGGAGCGCTGAGGGGACAGCGGAGAGTTTCACGTAGCTGGAGGAGGGAATGTGGGTGGGAGCACTGGGAGAGGCAAGGAAGGGGGCACAGGGTGAGCGTGGAAGACTGGTGAGCATGCTACCGAGCCTGGGCTTTGCTGAGCGTCAAGTGATGCTGACGAGTTCTACACTGAGGTTGCGGGGAGGCGGCATTTAGAAAGATCACCGCCTTCACAACAGGGAAGGCGGCTTAGGGGAAAAAGCCTCGGAGGCAGGGGGCATCTAAAAAGCTACTGCCACCTTCCAGGAGACAGGGAATGCAGGACTGACCTGAGGTGGACCAAGAAGGAAGGGGATGTGAGCTCTTTGGGAATGGAATCCGCAGACCTGGAGTTGCAGCTGAGAAAGCCGGGTGTGGGATAATCCCACTCTCCCCACCCGGGTGCTGGGTGAAGGGGACAGCCCTCTGCCCAGCGGGGCGTACGGGAAAGGACAGGTGCAGCAGCGAGGGGTGGATCACAAGTTGGGCCCGGAACCTGTCACTGCCCTTGGGACGTCAGAGATCAGCGTGGCTCCTGAGTGTGGGGCCCTGGAGCGAGGGGGCCGCGGAAACGCCAGCGACCTGGGAAGTCAGCGCCGCTGGAAAGGAAGCGGCCGCTGCTGTCGGTGCCGCTGTTTGCTTCTGTCCTGAAGGCTTCGGACGCTGGGGAGAGAAGGCTCCGCGTGGCCAGCCGGGTCATGGGTCCTCTCCCGGCTCGGGGAGAGCCAGAGGCTGATTTTCAGCCGGCTAAGATGCCACAGCAGGGCCAAGGATCTTCCCCCAGCAGACATTAAAATACTAACCTTGCAAAGAGAGAACGCATGCCAAGCGGCCCTCGGTTCACGAAGCTCCTGTCCTGACCCTGCTGTTTATCTCAGCCTCAGCTGACTCACGGTGAGCACACCCGTCGCTAGCCCTGCTGCGAGGCCGGCACTCCCACGGCGCTGGTGCCTCCATCTGCATCTCAGCAACTGTTTTAAAAGTTTATTATTTTTATTCATACGAACAGCCCATAACACAGTTCTGTAGGTAGTGGGCGGCGGGGTACGCAGGTTGTTCGACAGGAAACATTTCGGAAAGGAGGTATTTGTAGGCACTCCTGGCCAGGTCTGGACCAGCGCTGCCCAGAGCCTGGAGCCGTCAGCGAGGCCCCTACAGCAGTTTTCTCCCCAAGGGATACAGGGACATTTCCATCAGCACACACCACGTGCCAGCTGCTGCCCCAAGGCGCTGGTAAAGTTATTGTATTTCTGATCCTTACCCTGACCCTGAGACGTGAATGGAAGTTTCTCTACCTGAAAATGAAAAAAAAAAAAAAAAAAAAAACATAGATTTTACTGAGAAGAAAACACATAATTTTCCCAGTTTGGTCCATTTGTATCAAAAAAAAAAAAAAGCCCAATTCACGATAGCTAAGTCCACAGATGAACGGATAAAGAAAGTGTGATTTTTAGACACAGAAGAGTACTACTCTGCCATAAAAAAGGGTAAGCTTAGGTCATTCGTAGGAAAACGGATGTACCTCGAGACCATCATATTAAGTAAAGTCAATCAGACACACAAGCTTACATATCACATGGTTTTTCTTATATGAGAAACCCAAAGTATGAATCAAGAGCAAATAAAATAGATAATGGTTAAGTAAAGAAAAATATAATACATCTTTTTCAGATGGGAAGGGGATCAAGAGTTGGAGGGAGGAGAGGGAAGGGGATGGAAAAGGGAATTAGACGTGCTAGGTCCGTGGCCCAAGTCCACGCAAAGGAAAAAGAGGGAGGGGCTCTCCGGTGCAGAGTGACTCGGCCGCTCAGGTGACACCCTGAGCCCTTTGGAACCTTCAGATCCCGGGCTCCGTGCGCCGGGCCAGGACGGAGGCCAGGGCCCCGCCGGGGAGGGGACAGCCACGCGAGGCCAGGGTTTCCCTCCAGGGGGCGCGCTGCTCGCGGGAGAAGGGGCTCCCTCGCTGGCCCCGGCCCCGCGGCTCGGTTCACCAGCGCCCTTCCCGGAAGCGGGCGGCGTCTGCGCAGCGGCTCCCCTCCGCGGAGCGAGCCGAGCGCCGAG